CCACCAACCCCAGCAGTACGCACACCAACCTCATTCCCAACAGTATCCACCCCACGATCAGACGTACCACCCGCACGCCTCGCAGTAAGAGCCCAGCTCGCATCATGTCCAACCGCCAGGATATCCCAGCATCGGAGGAGCTCCATGTCATAACATGTAAGAGCTCAACCACAAAAAAAATTACCAAATGGCGTTGCACTGAATCATTTAACGCGTTTGTGCTGAAAAGTTCGACAACTTTTTGAAGTCTCTGAGACTTTCAAAATTCATAGATGTGTCTATGACGACATACGTGACTAGGTGCTCATGTGTGCTTGACCGCCCTCTCCAAAGTCTGGAGAGGGCCGTCTCGGTACTGTATCGTCCAGTCTGGAGTCCAGACTGGACGATACTCTGGTACGTATCGTCCAGTGTGGAGAGGGAGGGAAGGAAAGATTGTCCGGATGCGACATCGGATACATTAGTTTGGGGCTCATTGGTTGCTCAGAATGAGCGAAACATGCATGAGTTTTGCACTGGGCAGAACGGTCGTGGGCGAACGTAAGAGATCAGCCTGGGTTGGGCATGTTGGTTTGTTGGGTTGTACCCTTCGAAGAGTCGAAAGGGGGCATGTTGGTTTGTTGGGTTGTACCCTTCGAAGGGTCGAAAGGGGACATGTTGGATGAAGGTAGAAACCTCAGTCTTCCAGATCTCTATCTGTTGGATGAAGGTAGAAACCTCAGTCTTCCAGATCTCTATCTTATGTACCGTAGCGGCGTAGAAATGAATTGATACATCTCCCCGAGCCGCACCGGACACACGTGTCAACAGTCGCCACGATCTCCAAAATGATTGGCTGTGTCTTTTCCCTTCCGCTCATACTTGCACCCTTCTCCATACATCCACACCTCCACGCCGCCGCCGCCAGCAACAGATCCAGACCCAGATACGCACCGCCTCACCATCCCCATTCCCTATTCCCTCTTCTTCTCCACCGGTGCTCCCCCCCCCCCCACACCACATA